AATTACATGTGATAATTGTTCAGCACAAAATAAGAATAATCTCTCACTATATTTTTGGTGTTGGCTTGTATTAGTTGGAATGTATGATACGATTGAAGTAAATTTTATGTTAACTAGGTATACAAAATTTATATGTAATGGATATTTTGGTAAAATTAAAACACTTTCAAAAAACAGTTATTAACATGGTAGATAATGTTTGAAAGGTAGTTAATAAATCAACAAAAAATAATACTAACATTGGAATATGCTATAATAATAGTGAAGGATGGTCATATTATGATTTTTCCAAATTTTTAAAGCCACATTTTAAAGAGCTACCTAGTATAATCATTTTTTGTTTACTTTTAAAAGCCCGGGTAAAGAATTATGTCAAACTGAAGCAAATGGTACCTATAGCACATTTACTATTCTCAAAAATAGATTCAACGTTAATGAGGTTCTTGACAAAATTTCTTTAAAATCTTTATCAAAAGAACGTCAAGAATATCTCTATAATGAAATAAGAAAGTATGTAGATATACGATATCAGGAAATAACTTGTCCAAAGCCGTCATGGATTAAATAAATAATTTCTATTTCAAGTGAAATCAATAAATAATTAAAAGTTACGTAGTAAATGTTAAGTATTATTGTGAAGAAGTTTGTTTATTGATGATCTAATTTGTTACTTTTGATTGGATGATTTTCGACAATCTATTAAATTTTCGATTAATTGTTTTTTTCAAATCGAAAAATCACGATAATTTATTAAATCAATATAGGATAAAAAATGGACTACATATTAACAAGAACCAATACTATAATTGGAATCAAAAATCTCGAAATTGATAAAAAAATGTCAAACGGCGGTTTTCCTAGTCCATAACCCATATACGCTAAACTCACATAAATGCAATTTTTCTTATTACTTTCTAAATAAAGTTATCAAAAATCTGATCCCTACGAGTGCATTTAAGGAGGTTTAACTGTATTTAAATTCAATTGTATTATATAATTTAGGATTAATATTAATAGCATTGTTTTTTCGTAACATGGATCAGCTAATGCTTTATCTTTAAACCATGATTATTCTTTTCAAGATATAAAAAAGTTATAAAAGTGAATCTGCTAACGTTTTTCTTTTTTCTGATCCAAGATTATTCTGATAACATTTAAAGTCTATGATATTCTTGTAAAGTTTATCTGCTAATGCTTTTCACATTTAGTCCAAAATCTTTAAGATTTAAAAATCAACATAATGATTTTACAGAGTATATCCATTAATACTTTTTTTCTTCTAATCAGAGTTCATCCTTTTTAAAATTTTACAGAAGTTAGAGCAGTGTGAATCTACTAATAATTCTTTTTTCTTCCCAGCCAAGATTATTAAATAGAAGATCCAAGTAAGCCAACACAGGTTGAATCAATGAATAACGGGTACATATCGGGAGACAAATCTCCCGGTATGTACCCGTTATTCTACCACAC